GTGACCGCTGTCAACCAAGTGAGCCAAAATCGCGCTAGATGTTGACTTGAGCTCGCCTCTGTTTAGCCAGGCGGGATGGTGTTCCCGCATGCGCTTGGATAGCTGCCTAGTTGTTCGACCAATGTAACCTGCGCCACAGGAGCATGTTAAGTTGTAGATGCACATTGATGAGGCCTGGAACGGGAGTCTATTCTTGCCTTCAAGGCGAAGAAGCGGAGTGCTTAAAAATACTAATCTTAACTTGGCTGGTGGATACATACGCGCGATTGCAGCATTCAGGTGAAGCTGTAGAAGTTCGCTTGCTGGAGCACCTTCAAATGGCAATGTAAGAAATAAGGTTTTCTTCTCAGGTTTTTCCTGAAGGAGAAAGCAGGGCAGTCAGTTAGATGCAGGACCCCTTTTTCAGACAGAGAGCGTACCGGCAACAAAGAAAACAATTTCAGCTAGCGCACTCTCTTCTCCCCCACCCACATTGTTCTTGTGGCAGGGTAACTTTGCGGTGCCTGGCAAAGCTAAACATCCCATATATGTGTGTCACACCTGACCTGGTCCTCTTTACCCAAATGGAGCTACAATAAGATCGACTCGACTCCTTCGTTAGTGAGAGTGCCATAAAGGCCATATTATGAAGGCGTTATTGCAGCTTGACTCTCGGTCTTCGAAAATACTCGCCACGATTACGATCGTCCACTGTGTTGTATTAGCGAACAGGGCGCATTCTGTTTCTGGTGATAGTTGATTCGCATCCTTTGGGGCTATCGAACTTCGCCGTTTCTTATACCGTTAGAGTAAAAGGTATTTGCTCTTGTGTATGTAGCTGAAAAGAGCAGATCAGGAGTATGACCTTAATCTCTCGGTTGAAGCCCACTTAGTAAGCTCACACTTACCCAACCTTTTTTCCCCTTAACTCATTTTAGCGACCGATTTGGGTAAATTATCGATAATAAACCCTATTTTTAGTTCCCGTTGGTTAGGCTAGCACATCTGTTTATCTGAACTTAATATACACCGTCGTAAGAGAACTCTGCTATGTTCAAATCCATTCAGTTAATTGAGTTGTCAACGTATCGCCCGAGCTTTCGACTTTTCCAAATCCTTTGCAACTGCCCTCAGCTTGGCCTCTCCGTGAATTCGGTCATCTTAGCCCCGAATATCTTAATCATCCAACTGTGCGCGCGTTTTTCATTATCATCTTTGTCTCGCCTCACGCATTCTGAGCACCTCTAAGTTCCCGCCTTTGTAAAAGCACCTCGTTTTTTTTCTTTCTCGCTGTGTAAGGGCGTCAACTCTGATTCCTCCCGCATGTCTATTATATTACCGGTCTTCGGGCGTATTTGGGTTAACGAGTAAAAACGAGCTGCAAGTTGTGTTCCGATGAAAACCTTCACACTTTCTTCTCTTCTCTTTTACCACCTTCGGTCTACCGTCTCCTGATTTTTTTCAAACCCTTCTTTCCTCCCTGTACATCCTCTGGTCTAATCTGATCTGTCTCCCACGTGCAGATCCTGTGAACTGGTTCGGCATCCAAAGACCGGCGAGGTGGCTCCATTTTGGTAACCTGCTAGCACTTAGTCACTCCAATCCGATTAATTTAGTTCCAATACGAAATTGTGGACTTCTGCAAATCAGACGCTGGCGCACGGAGAATTTGTAACCGCAACTATTTCTATCGACTCCAAGGCACAAAGTGACTTTAAGGTGTGTTTGCGCAGCTGCGAATCACGTTTTGTTAGGTTGCGTAATATGCCTACCTAAATCAAATAAGTAATTGTGGTACAGCAATGAAACCAGCGGACGTTAGGGTGAAACTCATCCTTTCTGACTAGACGTTTGAACAGTTTTTTTTTTTGTTGCGTTGCGGTAAAATCCACCATTTAAAGGCGTGGATCGCATGCACATACCTACTGCACCATGCAACTATAAACGCTCTAATCTCGCCCTTTAAAGGGCAAATTGCCCTTCCTCAGAAGATAGTTGCCGCCGTCGTCGTCGTCGCCGTCCAACTTTTATTGATTTCTCCATAGAGTCCAAGTTTCTCAGCGCTTTTTCGTAGTGCGTCCTTGTATTCCACGCTGCTGAACCGTCGTTTTTCTCGTCACTTGGTAATGTTATTTAGGAGCGCGTTGGGCCGTCCGGTAGTGATCGATGCTTGGAATCTTCATTTTCCTCTGTGTCTTATTCCCTTCTCGCACTCTGCTACCCTTCTGCACCATTTCTTCCTCTTCTGGTGCCGTTCTAATTCTCCTTTTCCCCACTAGCTCATGCCATGCCCAGTCAGTCGGTTCTCCAAGGAAGTCTGCGATTACCTGGTGGGTTGAACCCCGTTATTCAGTGTTAAGAACACCTCCTAGTGCTTAGAGTTACCTAATCCCGCGGGATTGTTCCATCTTCATAGCACGAGTGACACGCTGTGGACGAGTGCCGAACAGCCGCAGGTCGTACAGCGGTCTGATGTCTGGATGACTGCCAACATTGAATTACAACAACCAGCCTCTGGCAGTAACGACTTTAAGGTTTGTGCTCCTCTGGACTGGCAACCTTGTTCTTTCGTCCGACCATCCCAATTCGGTAGTTTTTGCCCTGAACTTCATAGTGCAGTGTTCCTTGTTAGAGTTTATGGCGGCTTAGGAAGTGGAAAATTGCGGACTATATGCTGTCCACCTGTCTCTAGGCAGATATAAAGCTAAGCATCGCATACCTACCTAAATCGAATAAGTAGCTGTGGTACAGCAAATAAAACAGTGGGATTCCGGATGAAACCCTCAGCCTTTCTGTCTAGAGCTTTGAACAGGTTTTTTTCGGGCGGAAAGCTTTCTTCTAAGATGGCCGTTTTGCAGGCATATTGACTATCATCCACTAATTTCAGTATGTTCTCTGTACCCTTTCTTCTCGACCTCCCAGGCTCTGTCGTTTTCAGTATGCCTAGCCAGCCACTTCCGTTCCGGTCCTCCTATCTACATTACAGTTCCTTTTCTTTCAAGTCTCCGTTCGCCCTTTCAGTTCGCATTCCATGGTTACCTAACTAATATCACGGTCTTCTGTTCCATCTTCATACAGGATAGCGATTAGCCGCTAGACATCGATTATACCGACAGCCGGTACATGTAATTTAGGTGTGAGTGTGTGTCTCTAGTACTGACTGCTTGCCTCTCTCTCCAATTATCGGGGTCTTCTTCGCAGTGTGTTCTTATATTCCATGCTGTCGAATAGTGGTTTTTCTCCCTACTGGGTTATGTTGCGTAGGAGTGGGTTGTGCCGTCCGGTAGTCACCGATACTTAACTTCTCAAACGCCCATTGTCTTATCTATCCTATTCCCTTTTCGCACTCTGCAAAAAGCTGTCCTTGTGCAGCCGTTCTAATTGCCTCTGATCTATTCTTCCCACTAGTTCATGCCATGCTCAGTCAGTCGCCTCGTCAAGGCAGTCGGCTATTCTCTGGTTGGTTCACCTCCGTTATTCGATACTTAAAGCATCATTGTGTGCTTGAGGATGACTACTGATTCGGACATTTGTGACCTTCATAGCACAAGCGACACGTTATGGATGAGTGCCGAGCAGCCACAGGTTGTGCAGCGGTCTGATGTCTGGATGACTGCCAGAATTGAATTACAACAACCAGCCTCTGGCAGTAATGACTTTAAGGTTTGTACTCGTCTGTACTGGCGGCCTTGTTCTTCCGTCCGTCCGTCCGTCCATCCCCAATTCGGCAGTTTTTGTTCTGAACTTCCTAGTACAACATTCCTTGTTAGAGTTTATGACGGCTTAGGAAGGCGAAAGTTACGGAATTTTTGCTATCCTCAATTTAGTCGCTTGCACCGTTTCATGCAACACCCTGCCCGCAGCAAAAGGAAGGCAGTTTCACCTGCTCATTCCTTTCAGATCAAAGAGATATACCTTGTCAGCTTTAGCTTTTATTCCGCTGGTGTTTGGGCAGTCTGTCACGGAAAGCCCAGTCTACATTATGCTTAGCACCTTTAGTAAGCAACATATATTTTTTTCCCTTCTAATAGGGACTAAAACTCCACTTTTAGGAGTGTCTAATATCGGTAGTTCTTTTGATGCGAGACCGCCTTTGCTGCGATATGTTTTCGCACAACCAAGACACAGCCGCCGCCTTCGTACCAATTAGAGCGGTAGAACCAATCGAGGCTGGGGTAGTTAATTCGATCAAAACCCGAGTTGACCGCTCCTCTTTCTTCTTCTTCTTTTTCTTC